TTTACCACTGTATTTGGTGACAGCTGTCGGAGATCTCCTCTTTCTCACCTCACCCCTTGGCTGCTTCCTCCCTTGTCCTCTTACCCTTCTTCTTTCTACACTTTCCTGCCTGCCTGCAGACTTTGCGTGCCTCGGCCTCAGCCACTACCTGCCCCCTCCTGTGCCCGGTCTCGGGCTGCCCGTGCGCGGGTCACAGGACCCTCTCGCTGAGGCCCTTGTCCATTCACCGCCGCAGCATTGGTCTGATGATCCACCATCTTTTCCCCCTTGTCGTTCTCCAGCACCAGCACTCCAGACCCTCTCACCTCCTTCACCTTCCATCTCTGCGTTCCTAGCCCCACGTCCAGCGTATCCCTCTTTGCCCTGCGCAGGTACACCTCTTGTCCTTCCATCACCGCTGGTCTGGCCTTCCTGCCACCCTGCTGCTGCCGCTGCTCATACCTGTGTGCGTCCCTCAACTGCGCCGTGTGCAGGTTTTCCAGGGCCGCAGGGAGCATCTCCCGCATGTATCGTGCCCGTGCCTCCGCTAGTGCCACCCACTGCTCTGCTCCTGTGACTTGCACCACATCTGTCAGCACCCTCGGTGCTCCCACTGGCAGGATTGGCTCCTTCCCAAACAGCATGCTATACGGGGAATAGTCTTTCAGGGAGGCCTGCTTCCCAAACCGGTACCCCGCCGCAATCCAGTCCAACTCCTCATCCCAGTCTCTCTTGCGCTTCTCTCCATATGCCCTCAGGTTCCGTTTCAGGGTTTGCACCAGGCGCTCAGTCAACCCATCGCTCTGTGGGTGGTACCTAGATGTCAGCCTGTGTGTCACCCTTGCCTCGTCCAGCAGTGCCTGAAATTCCCCTCTAAATTCCGTCCCCTGATCTGTGAGCACTTCCCCTGGTGCCCCAAACCTGCACAGGACCTGTCCCTTGAATGCCTTTGCCACGTGCCTGGAATCTTTGCTCGGCAATGCACACACCTCTACCCACTTGCTCGCGTGTTCCACCATTAGCAGTATATACCGCTTGCCTCCCCTACTCAGCGGCAGTTCACCAGCTATGTCGAGAGACCACCTGAACCCTAACCCTCTTATTGGCAGCGACTGCAGCTCCTGCTTCGCCTGTGCTAGGCTGGCCTTGCTCCTCTGACAACCTTCGCATCCGCTGACCCATTCCCTGACCTGCCTTCTCATACCCTCCCACCACCAGCCGGTCTTCAACAGTTCCGTCGTGCGCTCGTGCCCGAAGTGCCCCAGCTTCCTGTGCACCTCCTTAATCACTCCCTCCCTGTCTTGTGGTGCAGGTACCAGCTTCCATCCATCCGCCGTCTGTAACTGCAGCTGTCCCTGGTACCATCGGTAATGGTGCCCCCTTGCCCTGACCCTGTCAGAGACCTGCTCCTCCTCATCAGTTTCTCCCTGAATCCATCGCAGTGCTGCTGGATCTTCCCAAATATCCTTTGGCCCCTTTTGCTTCCCTGCTGCTGCCTCTTCCCCTTGCCTTGCCAGCAACATCAGCGTGTGTACTGGCTCTGCTGCCGGCGGGTTCCTTGAGAGCCCGTCCACGTGCTGCAGAGTCTTTCCCGGCCTGTGACGTATCTTGAAGTCATATTCTTGCAGCGTCACGGCCCAACGCGCGTTCCTCCCTGTCAGCCCTTGGTGGGTCATCAGCCATTGCAGGGGTTGATGGTCTGTGATCAGTGTGAACTTCCTTCCCTGCAGGTATACCCTGAAGTGTTTTACAGCCCACACGGCTGCCAGCCCCTCTCCGTGGTAAGAGCTGTACTTGGCTTCCGCTGGGCTGCAGCTCCTGCTTGCATATGCCACAACCCTCTCCTCCCCATCTAACTCCTGGCACAGGATTGCCCCCATGCCTTGGCTGCTCCAGTCGGTGTATAGGCAAAAGGGCTTGTCAGTCTTGGGTAGCTGCAGAATTGTTGCTGTCTGCACCGCTTCCATCAGATCTTTCAATGCTGCTTCCTTCTCCATCCCCCATTCCCACTTCCTGTCCTCCTTCAGCAGCCCGTTCAGTGGTGCAACCCGCTTGCTGAAATTCGGGACGAACCTGCGGTAATAGCTCAGAAATCCCAGTACCGCCCTTAGTCCGCTTCGGTCCTTTGGCTGCTGCAGCCTGCTCAGCACCTCAATCTTCGCCTGCTGGATCCCTAGCTGCCCGCCCCTAACCTCATAGCCCAGGTACTGCACTGTCGCCTCTCCCCACCTACACTTCTTCGGATGGCATGTCAGCCCAGCTGCTGCCAACGCCTTCAGTGTCTGCTCCACGTCTCTCACATGCTCTTCTTCCGTCCGGCTGAAAATTACTACATCATCTATGTAACACGCCGCGCACTCCAGCCCCCTCAGCACGCTGTCCATTACTCTCTGAAAGATGGCAGACGCGTTTCGCAGCCCGAATGGCATGAACAGCCACTCGTATAGGCCATCTGCTCCATGGAACGCTGTCTTCCGCACGTCCTCTTTCCTTATCCTAATCTGGTTGAACCCCTGTCTTAAGTCTAGCGTGCTAAAGACCTCACCTGCCCCCAGCCGGTCAAAGATATCTTCAGCTGTGGGCATTGGGTAGCGGTCAGGCACTGTCACCTTGTTCAGTGCCCGATAATCCCCACACATGCGTCTGCTCAGCACCTCCCCCAGCAGGTCCTTTCGGGCAGCTACTACCGTCGGTGTTGCATACTCTGATTCTGACCTCTGTATCAACCCTGCTTCCATCAGCTCCTTACATTTCTCCTTGCAGACATCCTCATCTCCAGGGGTCATCCTCCGCTTCCTCTGGAATACCGGCTCATCCGTCACCAGCTTCAGCTCCATCTCCTTCACAGTGCACTTCCCCAGCTCCTGCATGGTAAACGCGAAGGCGTGCCTATACCTCGCCAGCACCTCCTGCATTGCCTCTTTTCCTTTCTCACTCATTGCATTCCCCACGACCCATGCGGGCTCTTCCTTGGCTGCCATGCATACCCATGCCCCCACCTTTTTCACCCTTGTCCCCACACTCTCTTCTCCTCCTTCCTCTTCCAGCACCAGCCCTCTCCACATCCGCCTCAGTAACCACTGCATAACTTCTCCGTCCATGGCCTGTCCTAATGCTCTTCTTCTCTCCTTTTCTGTCACCCCTGCTGCCTTGGTGGCCTCCTCTCCATACCCCATTGCTAATTCCCTTTCTAACGCACTTGGCTCCTCCCATCTCTTCGAACGGCAGTCATACACCATGCCTTCTCCTGGCAGCCCGTCTTCCTCTCTGAACCCAGCTGCCCCTTCATACCCCACTAATGTCGGCCACGCCCTGCGCTCTGCCCCCACTTTGTTGCATGGGCATTGTGTCTCATGCCTGCCTTTCCTAACAGGTGCCGCTGTCCTACCGGGCTCTAAAATCTCTCGCACGGTCCTGCTCCAGTCTCTGCGTATTCCATCCAGCTCCTGCTGCAGTTGCTCATCTGTGACCACGTTCTGCCAGTATCGCCGGACACGATGAGCTCGTGCCCCCAGCCTGGCCGCATCACATCTTACCCCCTTCCCCAGCTTCCTTGTCACTAACTCCCGCACTTTCTTGACAGGCTCCCTGCAGTCCCCTTCCAGATCCAGGTGCTCCAGCAGGTATACCACCTTCTCTTGTCCTTCCTTAATCCAGTCTATGATGCACAGCAAGTTCACCAGCAGCGCCCCTCTTGGATCTCCTAATCCCTTTCCTTTCCCTGCCCTTGACACAGCCTGACACTCCCATCCGGCCACCAGCAGGTCCACATGCCCCCAGCTCCTCACCACCTCCCGCGTGATGCTTCTTACATCAGTCACTGTCCCTCACATTGCCTTCACTATCACTGCTTCTTCTAGTAGCTCGGGGTACTCTTGCTGCAGCTTTCTCGTATGGTGCTCTGCCATCTTCCTCACCTGTTCGTTATTTTCCACGTATACCCATTCCCTCACGGCCACTCCTGCCTTGAGCACTGCTGCCAGCCCTGCTCCTATTCCCCCGAACAGCTCGACCAGCTTTATCGGCTCTTGCCATGCGTTGACTGCTGCTGCTTTTCCCACGATCCCTGCTCTCCCTCTCTCCCTGGTCCCCATCTGCTCGCCCGTGTACGCCCTCTTTGGCTCCTGCTTAGTGAATGACACAGGCAGCTCTCCCGTCTTGCTCCCCCGCTCCCAATACTGCTTCCGAAACTTTACCTTTTCTTTCCACGTGCAGATGGTCATCCCTACTCCCCAAATCAGGTCTGTGCCTAGCAGTACATCAAAATCTTCTGAGTCTGAAATCCCACACTGCAGCCTTATACTAGTCTGCTCCTCCTTCTCCGGCATCAGGACTATCTCCACTGGAGTCTTGGTGCACGGCAGGGACTTAGGCTCACCTCCCTCTGCTGTCATTACTAGCATTCCTCGTTTTATGTGCTGTCCCAGCCCGTTCAGCCCCAGCTTCTCTGCTAACCGCCTCCCCAACATCACACTCTGTGCCCCCGTATCTATGATCGCAGTTCTTGCCACTTCCCCTCCCACTGCCACTGTTCCCGCTCCTGCCACCAGCACCGTCGCTTGACTGGCTAGCCGTTCCTTGGGATGCCTGGCTGGCTCTTCTTCCCCTCTACCCTTCTCCTCTGGAGCTCTCTTTGGCCTGCTCCTCTCCCTCACCACTTGCTCTTTTCTTCCATCCCTGCCCCCGCTGCGCAGGCCCAACTCCTCTCGGCTGCGCAACACCATGAAATTGTACTCAAGCGCTGGCTCATCTATCACCTCTGCTTCGTCATCCTCTTCCCTTGCATACAATCCTGCCTCTTTCTCCTTCTTCCCTCCCAGTGCCTGCAGCTGCGTTTGCAATCTCCCTATCTGCCCTTCTATCTCCTCTGGCGTCCTCCTTGGCCCTCCTGTGCGTTGGTAGCAGTCCTTCCCCTTATGCCCCCGCTTCCCACACACCTCGCAGCTGGGTGCATCCGGGCAGTCCCTTCGGCGGTGTCCTGGCTTCCCACAGGTGTCGCAATTCCTGCAATTTCTCATCAGATGCCCTGGCTGCTTGCATCGGTGGCAGGTGCGTGTCTCAGCTCCTCTTTCCTGTCGGCTCTCTTCTCTTCCTCCCGTCTCAGGTATCATTGCTGCAGCCCAAGCAGGATTCTTCCTCTCTGTTGGCCGCGGCAGGTACACCTCATACTTTCTCTATGCCAGCTCCACTCTCTCTGCTAGCTCAAACACCTCTTCAGGTGTCGCGTCTGCTCCCAGCTCGTAGACCCGCATTCTCAGTCCCCCTGCTAGTCCCTTGTCCAGCCCATTTAGGAATTTACTAATGACCATACTGCTGTCTGTGCACACCACGTCCTCCGCTAGATTCATCAGCCGGCCGTAGTACGTTAGCAAAGATTCCTCGTCCCTCCTCTTGAACTCTTGAAACTCTTTGATGCGCGCCGCTGTGTGCCCTGGAAACTGCTTTCTCAGCCGGTCCAGAAATAGCACCGTCGGGTCCTCCTCATCTTCATCGGCCCTCCTCAACCACTCTCCCATCTTCATGCGATACAGGGTTTCCGCTTCCCCCCCGAGTGTGTTTGGCAGGCTCAAGAAGAAGTCTATGGGGTCCATCCCGCTTCGATCGCACCGATACTTCACATTGCTGATCTGCATCAGGTAGTTCTTGAGGCTTGGTCCTGTGTTCTCGTTCCCTGTGAAGCGCACCGGCACCTCCACCCGTGGTGCTGCCGTTGCGCCCCATCTCCCCCAATCCCAACTCCCCGAGCCTCCCCGATCTGACAGAGCAGCCCCTCGCTGCTTTCCTTTGTCTCCTCTGCTTCTTGCGCTTGTCCCGTACAGTGCTCGCTCCAGTCCCTCACGAGCTGCCCTGGCCCCACTAGATCCTTCTCCATGCTGCCATAGCCTCCTAGTGCCACTTGGACTCCGACCTTTCCTCTGGTCGTCTTCGCTCTGTCTCCTGCACCTTTCCTGATCCTCCCAACGTCCATTTCCCCGCACAGGTGAACGTTCCTGGCGATGCCACTCTTGCTCCCTCCGCTGCCGACCTCCTCCTTCTGCTCTGAAGCCGTGCGGTGATCGCCTTCCCCTTTCTCGTCCTTCTCTGTTGCACACCCGCTCCCACTCAGGCGGGCTCTGCTGACGTCGCTCCTCATGGTCCAACCTCTCCTCCCGCTGTTCCCGCTCGGCCCACCGACCTTCACCCATCGCCATGCGCCGTCGGCGGTCATATCCTGGTCTCGGCTCAGGCGAGCGGTAGACACCCGCTGACGCTCTCTTTCCCTCTCCCTGCCGTCCCGCAGGTGAGTACTCCTCGTTCCCGTGCTCCTCGTCCTCCCCCCGCACCTTTCCGTGTCGGGCTCGCTCCCTTTCATCCCTCCTCTTGTACCTTTGCCCTCCTCCTTCCCGCGCAACAGGGAAAGCCTGCTCATCGTTGGCGATGTCGCGCTTTCCGCCGCCCCGCGTAGTGGGGAACTCCTCCTCGTCGGCTGCGTCACGCCTTCCGCCGCCCCCGCAGTGGGCGATCCGTCGTCGTCGGCGTTTTCACGCCTTCCGCCGGCCCGCGCAGTGGGCGATCCGTCGTCGTCGGCGTTTTCACACCTTCCGCCGCCCCGCGCAGTGGGCGATCCGTCGTCGTCGGCGTTTTCACACCTTCCGCCGGCCCGCGCAGTGGGCGATCCGTCGTCGTCGGCGTTTTCACGCCTTCCGCCGCCCCGCGCAGTGGGCGATCCGTCGTCGTCGGCGTTTTCACGCCTTCCGCCGCCCCGCACAGTGGGCGATCCGTCGTCGTCGGCGTTTTCACGCCTTCCGCCGCCCCGCGCAGTGGGCGATCCGTCGTCGTCGGCGTTTTCACGCCTTCCGCCGCCCCGCGCAGTGGGCGATCCGTCGTCGTCGGCGTTTTCGCGCCTTCCGCCGCCCCGCGCAGTGGGCAATCCGTTGTCGTCGGCGTTGTCACGCCTTCCACCCGTCCCGCGTTGGCCTTCTGCCAGGTTCCACGGGTTGCTGATCGTCGGCCGCCTCCACGGCTCTGACCTGACGCGCAGGTCCTCCCCGCTTTCTTCCCTTCGCACGTCCGTCGGCGTCACCGGATCCGCGCGGTACGCCGCCCGACGTGGCGAGCGCGTCGGCGATCTCCCGCGCTCCCTCGAGCGTCTCCTCCGCGACGGAGATCGTTCCCGCCGTGAGTACGTACGCTGCACATGTTGATCGTGGCAATCCATGTCGCCAGTAAGCTCTCTCTCGTTTTGTGAGAGATTCCTACTCCCACAAGCTGGCTGCCCTCAGTGGCGTATCACCTAGCTGCCGTAGCCTTAGAACGGTGAATTGAATCCACTATAGTAGGCAAACAAAACGAGAGAGCAGGTTCTAGTGTCTAGGCTAGGCTGCTTTATTCCCTACCCAGAGTCACGACCATTTCCATGGCCTTGGGTTGGGTTCGAGTCGCCATGTGCCTTACTGGTTGCTGCAGATTCCCTGCTCCTCGAGGCGCTTGTAGCTCTTCCCAATGTCCCAGTTCCCCATGCTACCAACTTCGCGTCATTCCCTTGAAGCTCAACAACCCCTCTGTAAAGTTGCATAACCCCAATCCTACACCTCACTACACCAACTATAGCGTACAACCAAATATATTGTTCTTTACCACTGTATTTGGTGACACCGATTGAAGCGATACTTGGTTTGACGGAAAGCTCTTGAGCAGAGGAGTCACTTCAGATATCTGCTCAAGCCAAATAACATTCACACACATTCAGAAAATTCAAACCACACAAAACACAATTTCTTGCACAGGCTCACACCACGCATGCAACGCACGAACACATGATGGGAGGCAGACAGACGTGAATGCAAATGATAGCATCACATAACAGTGATGCCTCCCCCTGCTCCAAACTTAGCAGCTTTTTCTTCCAAGTCACTCTCTTCATGGGGGACCGTGGTGACTTGGACAGCTGCTGCTGCAGTAGTTGCTGCCACCTATCTGACAACGGGAGTTGTGTTTGGCCCCGTCCTTGCTTGGGCGTAGCCGACCTCGTGGTCGGGTGTGCGGGGGGGATACAGCTGACCTGGAGCAGTGGGCACGGGGCCACTGCAAATGCACCGAGCTGAAGGGCGCCTGGCTAGAAGGCGCCGAGCAAGAGAACGCCATCCTGGGCGCCTAGCCAGCATCATGGACGCCTGGTCGGCGTATTGGGAACCAGGACGCCAACCTGGGCGTCCGCACGGCGTCCTGGGAGCCTGGACGCTGACATGGGTGTCCGCACGATGTCCTAGGAGCCTGGACGTCGACCTGGGCGTCCGCACAGCTTCCTGGGCGCCTGGGCGCTGACCTGGGCATCCGCACGGCTTCCTGGGCGCCTGGACGTCGACCTGGGCGTCCGCACGGCTTCCTGGGCGCCTGAACGCTGACGTGGGCGTTTGGACGGCGTCCCGGGCGCATGGATGCCGGACTAGTCACGCCGGGCTTGTGCAGCCGGCAACCGACAGGGCTGGTCGACTAGGCGTGGTTGCCCGGTCGAGCGGGATACCCGTGCGACGTGTGTGAAGGTCGCCGGGGTGGTTTCTGCGAGGCCGACCTCGGAAGTGGTATCCCGAGGTCGACGTGGCTAGTGGGCGCAGACGCTGGTGTGGATTCGACCTATGCGTCTGCGCTATGTACGTGACGAGGAGTGGTGCACCAACTAGCTGCACGCACCTACGAAGCAGGTGCACCGTTGTCCTGCGGGTGCAATGATGTGCAGCCAACTTGTTGCAGCGTTGGTTCCCAGCACCTCCAGCTCTAGCTATACGAGCACGGCTAGCTCCACCATTAGGGCTGCCCCACTGTACAGCTCACTCGCGAAGCTACTCCAGGGAGAGAGTATTTTGCCGACGTGCACCAATGCCACCAGCACTAGCAACCCTAGTACCACCAGTAGCAGAACCTCCAGCTCCAGCAGTCCCAGCACCTCTAGCTCCAGCAGTCCCAGTACCTTCCACTCGAAGACGGCTAGCTCCACCACCAGGGCTGCCCAACTGGACAGCCCACTCGCAAAGCCTCTCCGGCGAGAGAGCCTCCTGCCAACTCGTACCAAGACCACCAGCACCAGCACCTCCAGTACCTCCTGTACCCACAGGACACTCAGCACCCCCTGAACCAGCACTCCTAGTGTCCCCACCCCTAGTGGCACCACCACCTGCAGTACCAGAGTCCACAACGACAGGCTGCAATGGCGCTGAAGACGGTCGAGGCGGAAACCCAGGAGGGACCGCCAAGAGCGCGGAGCGGCGAGGGGTCACGGTGACAGCAGGAATCGGGTCACCCCCCTCAGTTGGGCCAAAGGTGTCGAAGGAGACCTCGACTGGCTCAACCAAGGGGGACAGGTCAACTTGAGACACACCTGAGGGAGCAGGACCCTGCGGGGGGAGTGGGGCTACGGAGGGGGGGGGTCAGAGACTGGTGCGAGAGGCAGGAGGGGCACTGAGGAACTGCGGTGGGGGTGGAGACGTAGTAGCAGACAGACTCATCAAAAGTGACATCCTAGGAGGAGAGGACATGACGAGAACCCGGTGGTAAAAGTTCCAGCGGGGGGCGTCGGTAGGGAAGCCAAGGAAGACGCAGCAAAGTGCGGGGAGAGAGCTTCCCCGCGGGGGGGTCGCGAACAAGCGAAAGGGCACCTTAGACCCGAAATGGCGATGCATCACCAACCTCGCCCGTCCACCGCAAAGTGGGAGAGGTCTCCGGGTGGGAGACACGAGGCCAGAGGTTGAGTTGCTCAGCAGCGTATCGGACCGCAAACGGCCACAGGAAATGGGGAGCAGCCACATGGACGATGGAGGTGCGAGCAACCTCCATCACCAAGCCAATGCGGCGCTCCATTCTACTTTAGAGAGGCCGAAAGCGTGAACGTCTGGCGGATGCTCTCAACACCACAGAATTCCTTGAGGAGGCCGGAGGAAAATTCACCACCTCGATCAGAGTGCAGTTGCAGGACCAGGAGGTCGTGCTGAAACCAAGCACTAAGCTGGCGATGGACAGCACGGATCTAGCGGATCAGGACACTGCGGACCTTTGCCTTGCTCTGCAAGGGGAAGACCGTGATGTAGCGCGTGTAGTCGTCTACAACTAGTAAGAAGTAGAGCTCTTCGCCCTGTCCAGGGACTCGGGCTGGACCGCGCACGTCCATGTGGAGGGTCTGCAGAGGAGCTGTGGTCGGAGGAAATGAGGAGGAGTGAGGAGTGGCGCGCTGCCGCCCCTCGACGCAGGGAAGGCACGGTGATGCAAGCGACCTGAGGAGCAGGGGCAAGGACCTGGTAAGCCCAGAGACAAGGAGGGATGGTCAAGACGGTGGTGCTAGAGGAGAGTCTGGTGCGTGGGGAGACGACACGAGCAAGACGCAGCGACCTCAACTGACACAGCTACCTGACCTGAATCAACTACCAGTGCAGATTCAGTGGTCAGTGTGTACAGGCCAGACCCAGGCCTCCGAGTGAACGTGGCGAGGTGCTCACCAGTGCGCGAGTCCGTACAGATCGCCACGAGCTTGCCTCCATGCTGGGTGACAGTGACCCACTGGTCCTGAAGGAAAGAGGTAGCCACCAAGTTCGTAGCGAACGAGGGGAGGTGGAGACCTGTGAGGAGGCCAGAAGGGGCCGCCGGACAGGGGAGAACAGTAGCACCACGCGCGACTACCGGGCCCCTGGAGGGGTCGGCCATTGTGACAGGGACAGGGGCTGTGAGCGGTGTGACTATGGTGCCGTCGCGGAAGAAGCAGCGAGACGCACCTGATTCTAGTGTAAAAGTGTGCAAGGCCTCCTCAGGCTCTGCCCCTGCGCTAGCTGAGTCACACGCACCAAGACTAGTAGCCTCTACGCCATCAGGTGCCTCTACACCCTCAGTACGAGTACCCCGAAATCCTCCACCACCGGGGCTGCCCCACCGGACAGTCCACTCACAAAGCTGCTGCGGGGAGAGAGTTTCCAGCAGACGCTGCTGCTGATGCTGTCCACCCCCAGAACCTCCGCGTCTACTAGCGGCACTACCAGCAAGAGTAGACTCACACGTACCTCCAGTGGTAGCACCCCACCGGACAGCCCACTCACGACGCTGCTGTGGCGAAAGCGGCTTCTGCCGACGAGCACGGCTAGCTCCGCCACCAGGGCTGCCCCACCAGATAGCCCACTAGCAAAGCTGCTGGGCGAGAGAGACTCCTGCACACTCGGCTGCTTCTGACGTATGACAGTGATCGTGGCCATTGTAGGCAGTGGCAGTTAGCAGCAGTGGCGCAATGTTTAAAGTAGTGACTGCAGTGGCGGTAGCTGGAACGGTAGGTGTAGTGGCGGCAGTGGTAGGAGCAGTAGCGGTAGCACCTGTAGGAGCGTGCGCAGGCGATAGCGGCAGTTGGCGGTACACGCGGGGTAGGGCAGGAGCGCGCAGGCAGCGTGAGCACGTAGGGCAGGAGGGCATGCAGGGCACGTTTGGCAGCAGGGCGCTCACGGTGTGCTGGGCAGGGCAGCGTGAGGCAGGGGGGGCAAGGCAGCGCGCTGACGTGCGGGGTAGGGCAGCGTAGCGGGGCGCTGGGCAGGGCAGCGCGCAGGCTTGCAGGGCAGGGCAGCACGCTGGCGTGCAAGACAGAGCATTGCACTGGGCTGACATTTCAAAAAACGCCACCCTGATCTTGACCCACATTTTTTTTTTTTACAAAAATGGCACTTCGGCCACAAAACGGTTAGTTTGAGTATGTTACACAAAATCAGGGGTGAAAAATACACAACTCTGGGTTTCAGTGTTGGGGAAATGAAATCAGTGTCGCGTTATTGTTTTCTTTTTTCTTTTTGTTGGCAAGAAGGAATGTTGCAAAATGCAAGAGGCAAATGCAAGTGGCGCGACCTTGCAAGTGCGACGTGGTGCCACGCGTGAGCTGGCAGCAGGCAAATCTGTTGCTTGGTTATGGTTTGGAGAACCTAGCAGTGCCACAATTGTTTGGCAGCATTTTTTTTTTCAGCCTACGAATCAACATGCATTCTCTAACCTGCGTACACTATTTGTGCGCTAATGATAAATCCCCGCATTAATACTAGAAGCACCAAACAGTGCGATACTTTTCATCTGGCAAGATTTACTCTCCTACAGATTCGCTTTTCTAATCACCCATTTGTCGAGCGATCGGCTAACAAATCTCTTTTCAGCTTAGTTGTTTTGTACGCTTCACCGATATTTGCGTGATATCCCCGACGACTGAGTGTATTCGGGTGTTCCCAGTGGCGCAGCGCACTTTGCTCATGTGCTGGAACGCTACTCCCCCCTCGGAGGTCTGTATATCGAGAGGAAGTTTCCTGGAAACTTTGTTTCAATAGACTCGCACTCAGGGGCCACATAATCGATAATATGTAGTAACAGGCTCCGGAAAAACTCTACTCTGAGGACCATTGCATGAAATTAGGGCCCCTAAAACAATAACTCTGAAGCACCCAGGGACAAACATTCAACTACTTTGAATGCAATGGCACGTGGCGCAGGCAGCGTAGGGTGCGTGGCACGCTGGCAGACAGGGCACGTGGCGCAGGCAGGGCAGGGTGCGTGGCACAATGGC